GTGATCCTTTGGCTGGTCTCCAGCCTAGAGATTATTGCAAGTTTGGAGACAGGGTGGATCTTCACCTCCCTTTACCTCCCCTTCAACCAGGATGCTGCTGCCTATTTCCTCAGGCCTATCCTTGCAGTGGGTGGCTCTTCTTAACATTTTTGACCTCCCATCCCCCTCTGGATCATCCCCTGGTTTGCCACGTGGACTGAAAAGCTCTGATGAGGAATTAAATCCTGGGGTCATGGATGAGATTTCACTCCACACTCGAGGCTGCTGCCCATCTCCCCAGTTTGACTCTCTCCTTGGTGAGATTGTATTAGCCACTTTCATTTTCTACAAAAAGAGATCTCCTAGAGAGGTCACATTGACTGGAAGGGGAGGTTGGGGATCTGTTTACTGATAATATTTCCTTGAATGGAAATGCATATTCAGAACTCCTGCCCCCCAAGTTGCATCTTTATACTATAATATCTGCAGGCAGATCATAAATTGGTAGAAAATAGAGTCAAAATATGATAGCTTCACAACAATAAGAAACTGAGAAGTGTATATCTTAGCCAATGTTCCACAACTTACTCTCCATTCAAAATTAATGTCATAGTCTTATATATATAACATTTAAATGGCCATTTATATTTTTCTGTTGAGGGAAAATATTTAAGTAAATAATCAGCAAGAATTATAATAAAAACTCTATTTAAAAAAAAAAAAAACCTTCCTGGGACTTCCCTGGTGGCACAGTGGATAAGACTTCACGCTCCCAGTGCAGGGGGCCGGGGTTCAATCCCTGGTCAGGGAACTAGATCCCACATTCATGCCACAACTAAGAGTTCGCATGCCACAACTAAGGAGCTCTGGAGCCGCAACTAAGGAGATCCATGTGCCACAACTAAGGAGCCTGCAAGCTGCAACTAAAGAGCTTGCCTGCCGCAACTAAGACCTGGTGCAAATAAATAAATAAATAAATAAATAAAAGCTTCCCATAATATCACTGTAATTATGCAGTTACTTATTTTCGCCTTTTTAATGCTCCGGTTTTCGTTAACTTTCCGGATTTGGTAGCTCTCCAGGTAAACATGGTGCACTTTTTTGGTACACTTTATCACCAACCCATGACATTAAATGAGATAATGTGTGTAATCCCAGTGCCTGACATAGAGTACATGCTCAATAAATGGTAATTATTATAATTATTAATGATAAAACCCCACCACTAACAATTGCTTCAGTTTGGTCAAACTTTAACCTCTTTTAAAATATAAATAATTCTGGAAATATTTAAATTATATAGGGGTAATTTGATTTGTAGTATTAATTCCCTTGAAACTTTGTGGGCCTGGAGTAGGCAAAAAGTATAAAAACGGCATGTATCTACCTTCACAAATTTGGTCAGGGATATCTACAGTGAAAAAGCTAATTTTGAATTCTAAGTTTTAAAATAGTAATAATCTATAATTTTCTAAAATATTTAGATAAAAATATATTTGGTCCACTTATGGTAGATAGTCACATGCTTGTAAAAGGGATTGGAGTAAAAGCTTAATGACGGCTTATGGTACATTTTCAAGCTAACTTTCCTACAGTATGGACCCTTCCAGTGTCACAAAATTCCATCCAGAACCATGACCACCAAAGCCAGCCAGGAAGATTGATCAGAAAGGTGAAATATACTGATGCCAACCATGCATTTTTATTGCTTTCATTGCCCAGCAGTGGCATAGACATTATATCATCATCATTTCTACAAAGATACTGATACTCTTTCTTTAGAACCATCTAGAATCTGATATATATTCTTAGAAATAGTCATCATTATCTTTTGAGAGTGTCTGGTTTAGAGAAATGATCAAAAGTCTCTTTAAAGTAAGCCTGATGACTAAGTAATTAAATTAGTTGACATTAAATCTTCTTACTGTCCCACCCTGAACCAGGCCTTAATCCTCAACTTGACTTCAATCTAGGTTTCTCACTTCCTTTTCAGAACCGCATGATTGAAATGCATCCAGCTTCGTATGCATGGGCTTGCATATCCATGTCTACTGATCTGAGAAGAGTACTCTCGTAAAGGAAAGCCCCTTCATTTCCCTATAGTTTTCTTGAAGACCATTCCTCTCCCATCTCCCTTCCCTCAGATCTTCAATTTGGACAACACAATTTTGACTCTTTTCTTGGTATTGTCCTAAAGGAAGCTATTAAGTGAGAGAGGATGAAAATTTTCAATGCATTCTTTAAAAAATTCTTTTGATATTTTTTCATCACACAGGATGCAAGAGTATGCTGTGTAAACATAGAAGCTATGAAAAAAAGAACTAGGAAGGTAGCTGAAGATATTACAAGTAACTGTCTCCATCGGGATGTTGAACTGGAAATGGTCTTATAAAACATGTAGAAAACAAGAAAGTAGATATGTGGGTGCACTGAAGAGCAAAATAAATAAGAATATTTTATTAAATTAATGCAGGTGTAAACAGTGACAATCCACTGCAGAACTAGATATCATCTCTGCCTGTATCATTTACAATGAAACACAAGACAAAGGGATAAAGTGCCTTACAAATCCCATACCACAAGAAGGCATTAAGATTTAGGAATGGAGTAAATAGACTTTAGTCTTGCTGAACCAGAATCCTCACTTGTACTTCACACAAACAAAGGATACTGTCACTCAAACAAGGGATATTGTGCAAATGAACATGTACAAAAAGATAACAGGAAAAGTTCTATTGGAGATTCTGTTTCTTCAGCCTGGACATGTGGCAAAGCAAAGTCGGTCTTCCTTGTCAGTGATCCAGGTAAATGGCCAAGAGGGAAGAAATACTCTGGGACCTCCTGAGAGGGCATCTGAACTTTTGGAAAGCAATGTATTAGGAGGTCTGTGTAGTGGTGAGAACTGGTGGGACTCAAGGGTTCAGGCACAGCTCACAGGCATCACAGGCCTTTTCTGGCACAGATGAAGGTCTAGGGTCAAGGTACTTGACTGGAATTTCCAAAAAGAACATGTAATTTTGCATGTGCAACATTGAATTCAAGTTTTTTTTTTTTTTTTTGCAGTATGCGGGCCTCTCACTGTTGTGGCCTCTCCCGTTGTGGAGCACAGGCTCTGGACGCACAGGCTCAGCGGCCATGGCTCACGGGCCCAGCTGCTCCGCAGCATGTGGGATCTTCCCGGACTGGGGCACGAACCTGCGTCCCCTGCATTGGCAGGCGGACTCTCAACCACTGCGCCACCAGGGAAGCCCCGAATTCAAGTTTATACTCAAGAGAAAACAGAAAAAAAACAAGTTCCAGACATGATTCTGTCATACAGACTTAGCAATAAAGTCATCCTTTAGAGCCAGGTTGACCCCATGTACCCTGGAAAATCCATTTTGAGAAACACATTCTCTCTTTGAGAAACACAAAATAAACCAAATCCAAACACAGTCATAGAGCAAGTACTCGACAAATGCTGGTTGTCTAAATGTAGGTGTAGTAACTCTTTAGTATGTACCACATCATATGAAAGATGCTAAGAGACTATGGAAAAGATGACCTAGAACAAACAAGACATAGTACCCAGCCACTGGGAACTTCAAATTTGTTCTGTCTACTACCTAAGAAATAGTATATTAAATAAAAATAGCAAAGGGCACAGAAGACGCATATGCATTACTACTTATGTGAAAAAGAGCAAAAACTAAAAATATATACACATTTTACAAACATTTCCACATATGTTCATAGAATATCTTTAGAAGACAAATAAACAAAAGACAAGTGTTGTTGCTTCTGGAAAGGGAAACTAGATGAGTAGGAGGATGGAATAGAGAATTTTTAATGTCTCCTACTGGACTTTTTGAATTTTGAATCATAAAAAAGTATGAATTCAAAATTCAATTGCACTTAAATAAAAAAACTGCTAGACAATACTAGGCACTATATAAATAAACATCAAATTGCATGGCAAAGGCAAACAAATCAGGGGTAAATATAGTGATAGAAAAGGAATTCAAGAGCTGTTTTCCACAGTTTTAAAAAATCTGACATCTCATAAACTAAAATTGCTTTCATTATTAAAATGTTTAAGTATTTTCAACTGTCCAGGAACACACTGGCTGGCTACCCAGAGCGTCCCCTCCTTCGGCAGCATTTCTAGACTTTCCTCCTCATACAAGCATTCTCCTCGAACACCGTATACTATGATAATGCACCACGTTGTAGCAATACATTTTCTTACTGCTGTCCCCATGATACTATGAGCTCCTCGAGGGGAAGTGCTTTATCTTGCTCACATCTGTATACTCTGCCTGGCACAGTGATTGACATGGTAGGGTGCTTCCTAAATGTTCACTGAATTAATGAATTTCTTAAAGTAAAACAGAGCTGTAAGTTGCATTCTAAAAGGACAGTGGGTAAAAAAATTTTTTTAATTAAGAAATATTAAAAAGAATGTGTATATGTGTATAACTGAGTTATTTTGCTGTACAGCAGAGATCGGCACAACATTGTAAATCAACTACACCTCAATTAAAAGAAAGAAATAAAAGGAGAGTGGGTGACAGTCTCGGATATCTGAGGTCTGCTGTTTATTGTCTTGGGCAAGTTATTTTATCTTTGCTCCCTCAGCTGTGAAATGGGTAGAACAGTGCTTGCTACAACACAGCTGCTACAGGAATGAAATGAGATTATGTGTACACATAGTTGTAAAGCTGATACTTAAACGTAACATATTTTGGTAATGTATCTTACTTTGAGGTCTGAGAATAAGATTATCCAAGTCAGCCAAAGTATCAATGGGTTAAATAAGGTAATATCCTATACAAACCAATGGTTTGTTCTCTATGGTTCCTATGTACTGATAGTTATAGAGGATATCAAGCAACTTACAAATACTATATTTTGCTGGACACACACAAGTCATCCAGCAGTAAGTTTGGTCTGGTGACATAATTTTAACTTCTAATACAGCATATCTTCAAAAGAAATCACTCACAACCACACTCACATGACAAGACCCCACAGACTCAAAATAAATAAAAATAACTCATACTTAAGTACTGTTGCAACATTGGGACTCTCAATTACCCAGAAGACAAATCAACACTGAGTGAAGGCAAAGGGCACTTCTGCAGGAACTGACCATTAAATCAGGGAATCTCAACCTGTTTTCCTAGGATGAGTGATGTATAATTTGCATGGAGATTTATCATTCAGAAGTGTCCTTTCTCCTTTTCATATGCATTGATGAGTCTCCCGGTCATTTTGAAGTACCAAGGTTTCCTTCCAGGCTAAGGCTACCTTTTTTACTCCTTCTTCCTTTGTTCTCTTCTTCTTTCCCAGCTTCCATTTTCAGAGCTTGGGCCTTTTAAGTTCTACATCGTCTGCAGCCCACTGGCCCATTGCATGCCTCTGGTCATGCCTAGCCCTGACGAACTCAAACCACAGGCTGAGAATCCCTGCTTTAAGATCAGAAGTTTCAACGTCGGATTACGTCTCCTCAAATTGTGTATCTGGAGAGTGAAAATGAGAAACATAAGTTATATTTGCTAGATGATATAATAAACTTGCAATAACAGAAAGAAGCATATTATATTTATGTCCAATTTCCCTTACATGATAAAGTGTAACCAACCATCCTGGTTTGCCAGGAACTGTCCTGGTTGTGAAACTAAAAGACCCAACGCCTTATTTTTGCCAGATTTGTGTTCTTGGGTAATTTATATTATCTTCTTGACGCTCTGTTTTCTCTACTATAAAATGGGAATAATCCTAGTATTATCCTAGGATAATAAATAAATAAATTCTCTTTGATTTTGTGGAGGGAGGAGATTGAAGTACTGCACATGAAGCAGTACACACAGTGCCTGATACACGTTTTATCTATCTATCTATCTATCTATCTATCATCCATCCATCCATCTATCACCCATCCACATAAATCACTTTGGTCCCCTATTGCAGGGAGATGTTAGGATGCAGAGCAATAGAAACCTAACAGAGAGAAGCTGCCTCCTTCCCCCACCTCCGCAAAGAGCCATCCCTCTACTCTCCTTTGCCATCCCTAAATCTCAGACTGTGGGAATAGTTCTTATATCAGAGTTGTGAGGCAAAGAGGAGCTGGCAGTTCCAACAGTCAGCATTCTGTAAAATGAGGGGAGATTATGGCTGATAGCCTTCTCCTTGTTCTTTAACTTTTTACTTTTCCTTCAACTTCCGATCCCTGCTAATATTCTTACCATTTTGCTGCTTTGAGTTCATATCTCGGGTGCCACATTTTTCCATATCCATCACTCCCACTTGAAAAAAAAAATTATTTTTATTTCCATATAACACAACTCTACATCCCACACAGTGACTCAAGTTTAAATTCCAGGTTCCTATGAAACATTTTTAATCCCTTAGGAAATCTGGTAGACTTCCATATTCCAGGAGTCCCAACTCCTGAGGTTAATTCAACAGTTTAATTAATTCAAAATTTTCTAAATTTTATTCAGGAGTATATACTTATATTTTCCATTCTTCCCCCAGAGATGTACCATATTCTGAGATACTTTATCACACGCTGGTTTTCTAGTCCTTTCTAATGCCAACTAATTATTTTTCACATGGAAATGCAAGTTGGCCACAGCCACTTCCTTGGACAAATCAAAGCCATCTTAGGTCTTCCTATCACTGAAACTTGATCCTTATATTCTGGCTGTCTCAGTTCTGTTAAGTACTTGTTCATTAGAAGAAGCTGACCTCCACTCACTCAATTACACCACTTTCCCAGATCCACCCACCTCTTAAGGGGTTGTAGGGAATTTCTCAACGACTATTGGAATTCCCTTCCATTTTCCACTTCCCTATTTGTCATCAGATAACTCTATACACAGATCATCAGATCCTTTGGTGTACTTCTCAAAGTACTGGGGAAATGTTCGTTCTCAATCATCTTAAAATGAAAGGAAATTATTTGAATAGCCACGTTTCCCTGAATTTTAATTGCCCCCTTGGGTAAATAGAGAAATACACACATTAAAATTATTTTAAAATCTATATAACACTCTCAGCCAGAAATCTTGCAAACTACTCTATGGTAAAAGTATCACTGCTCTCCATAAAGAACTATTTTTATTATTTAAAGGTCCCAGAAACCAGCTCAATATAACAGTGCAACTAATGCTAGACAAATTGAACTGAAACCAACAGGCATTTAGCTTTCTCTCTTCTGTAAGTCTGTGGTTATTTACATGACGGAAAGAAATTGTTTAACACTTGGTCTTCTTCAACCTCCATACACAACCTTTCTCTCACGATCTTCACCCAGCAATCCTGCACAGCTTCACTATAATTGCTATCAAACAGTGGAGTGTCTTTGTGCTACCTTCCAGAGGCAAGTCAGGTTTGCTTGCAGCCATGATCCAATTCTCACCCCCTTGGAAAGGTTACTACAAGTGTTCACTGCCGCCCTTCAATGAAAGTGATACTGCAGAACAGTAACTAAAAACCTACTTTGCATAACTGAAAGTTGGCCCTGGAAGGGAAAGCTAATAGGAAACCATTTGATAAATCACTGTTTCCTGCTGGGGGCACCCCTAGCATTTTGGGTAGAAAAGCTCCCTGTTACATGGGACTGTTCTGCAGATTACAGGAGATTTAGCATTCCTGGCTCTGCCCACTAAGTGCCATTGTGACAACAGTAGCACTCTCATACACTTCTCCTCAACCCCAATGGAAACTATTACAATAAAGGAAATACCATCTTTTTAGACAGAAGATGATTGTCAGGGTTACACTAAGGAACAACAGGAGAGCTCCCAGAATCACGAAGTGAGTCCTCTTTTTTGCTGGATCTGGATATGGTTCTGAAAAACAAAACAAAATAAAAAGAAACTAAAGATAAAATCTTCTTTGGAAGGGGCCAAGAGAATAATCATCTTTGAAGCTTAATTTAGGATAGTATTAGGTTAATTTTCTTAAATACCATAAATTCCTTTCCAGTGAGTGGCTGGAATGGTGAGATACCTCAGATATGAAAATGGGAGCAGCATGGAAAAGTGGAAGCAGCCCAAGCTTTGGACAGATGAACCTGGGGTTAAGTTCTGCTGCCACCCACTAGTTTTGAGATCTCCAGTAAGTCCTTTAACCAGCCTAAAAAATGGAAATGATAATGAAATTTTTGTGAGGCTAATATTTATAAAGTGCTTTTCACAGGGAGTGGCAACTCAATATTATATGGTAGCCTTGATTATTTCACTTCCTGCATTCCTTAATATAAAAGGTAGCAGCCTACTGCACATGGCAAAGATGGAACATGAAGGCCAACTGGCATTGTCAAAGAGCTCCTGCTTCCCCATATCTGTGGCCATGATTGGGACAATTGTTTGCTATCTTTTCTTTCTCCACAGTTTGAACATCTTGGGACATCTAATCATTGGCACCTCTCACCAACCTGTCTCCAGTCCCATGCAGGAAGAAAAGGGGTCTTACGGCACATGATGCTCAGAGACTGCTAACTCCCACCTCCCACCATTAGCCATGATCCATGACTACCTAGTTCAAGCTTTAAAGCTGTAGTCAGCTTTTCTCTAGTAGCTTGCAGTTTACAGAGCCTGTTAATAACTTTATGAATTAGGTGTGCCATTTTTTATTTTTTAAATCCCCAGGTTACAGATGAGGAAACAGATTCTGAGCAGTTAGGTGAGTTAACCCTAGGTCTTCCCACAAGTAAGTTATCATAAAATAGCTTTTAAATGACAGGAACCTATTATACTAATGCAGCTCCTACCAAAGTGATTCACACCCCAGTAAGAGCATCTCTTTAATTTTCTAAACTTTTGTTTTTTTTGTTCATAGGACCACCCTGGATTGTCTTTTCCTATTGTTTACCTTTTCTATTCAATTTTTTATTTGTTTTCTCTGAAGTACCTAAGCTTTACTTTCAACATCTAGTGGGGGAGAGAGTGGTGAGAAGTGCCTCTGAGAAGCAGACAATATAAACCTCTGGGTTTATATTGGGTTGGCCAAAAAGTTCACTCGCTTTTAAGTAAAAATAAAAGACACATTTTTCATTTTCACGAAGAACTTCACTGAACAACGTATTCACTAACCGAACGAACTTTTTGGCCAAACCAATATTAACATCATGCTCTCAAGCTCGCTTTCTCTAAAGGTCTGAGCCTCTCACCAGAATGTATCCTGCCTTACCCACTTCTATAGGAGAGTGAGATAAAAATAAAATAGTTGATTCTGCGCAAACAAGAGTCTCAAATTATTTTCATACACCGTAGCTCATGTATTCCTATGATGGTATTGTCCAATAGGTTATAACTATATAAGAAAAGTGAAACACACAGAAGTCAAGTTGCTTGCCCAGGGACACACAGCCTTATATCTTACGCACTAAGCAGACTACCTTGGAGGAGGCAGATGGGGAGGAAGGATCTCTCCCGTTTGGAATAAGATAGGAAAGTACATTCCATTTGCTTCCTGCCACAGAAACCCTGGAAAGAAGGAAACAGCTCTGCTGTGCTCAGATTTGGATTCCTGAAACTTGGTCTGAGTTGAGTCTTCCTCTCAGGTGCTGCCCTAGATCCCCCAGCCACAAGAGCATGTCCTACATAAAATGAGATTGCCTGTTTTATTATCTACTTCCTGGAGAGTGTTAACTGAGTCCCCAATGCCTGGCACGTACCACATATTCAATAAATATTTGCTGAATGTTTATTAAGTTGCAATATGACTTGGACGAATGGAGGTGAGGAAGTAGGATGCATTTTGTAAATACAGTGTTATTCATTCATTCAACAAACAATGAAAGCTTACAATGAGCGGGTATCAGGCTAGGTACCAAGTGACAGTACTAGGCACATTTTAATTGAGACATTCATAATATTACCTGGGATGACCAACTCAGCTGTACTGTTTTCCTCATGACCTAATCTCCGAAAAATGCAGTAGAAAATCTCGTTAGCTGTTGTGTTGATTCTTAGTGTGCTGGTCACATTGAAAAGCTTCTCCTCCCTCTTGGAACTGGTAATGGTGGTTTTGCCACTCAGGACTCGGTGGTCACTGCTTGTCCAGATGACTTCAGCCTCAGGGTAACCCTCAGCCTGACACATTAGTTCATGTTCAGAGGTGACTGGATCCACAGAAATTGTTTGGTTGATTTTGCGGTATGAAGCTAGGTCGTGAGCAAAAAGAAGGCATGGCTTTCACTTAGCACAGAACTAGACATGTGGCTTGGTCTTGTCTACCTTAGAAAGAATACCAATCCAGGCTGTTCTCAGAGAAATAAGCTTAATGTTCAGATGTTTCAGCAGTGGGGAATGCCTGGTAGTTCTGCCTCAACTCTTCCACTCATACTTGGGCCAAGTTTGGGCTTAAAGGAACAACTACCTTGCTATAAAAAACATATTGCTATTTTTATTGAGCTCAAAGTATTGATAAATGTATAGATTAATTAAAAGAGAATTGTCATCTTTAAACCAGTAGTCTTTCTATCTAAATATAAAATATGTTTGTCCATTTACTCAAGTCTTTATATGTTTCGCAGTAAAGTTTTAACAAAGGGCCAAATTCTTAAATTTATTATCTCTTTGTTGATGTAAAGCTGTCTTTATAAACATGAACATCTCCAGCTGTTCAGTACTGTTTTCTTAGACTTTATTTAATAAACAGAAAATCTCATTTTGATGGGCCATTCACTTTTCCAATTTTAGGTAAATGATAAGAAATTAGGTATGAAAATAGTATAACGTCATTGTAAAAGTGGATACGTGTTCCCTGCATGATAATTTTTAAAGTTTAAATGCATTTTAAAAAATTTTACAATAGTTTTAGATTTACAGAAAAGTTGCAAAGATAGTACAGAGTGCCCACATACCTCTCCCAGTTTCCTCTATTTTTACCATCTTACATTACCATGGTACTTTCATCCTAACTAAGGAACCAACATTAGTACAGTACTATTAACTAAACTTTATACTTTGTTCCATTTCACTAGTTTTCCCTAATGTCCTTTTCCTGTTCTAGGATCTCATCTAGAATACCATATTATGATACTTATTTTTTAAACTTTTTATGCTGGTTATTTTAATAAATCATTTAATTATACTCAAGGAAGAAACTTTGATTAAATTTTAGATCATAAGTTTGGGACCCTTTTAGGATTAAGATACCCGATGTACTAAATATTCTAGTAGATTATTTAGTGCATTTACAATGCCTAAGAACTTTTTCATGTTTATTCATGATAAGTATGTTAACATGTTATTATTCTGTTGGCATAATTTTTATTTTACTCCTAATATTTTAGTGTAACCACTAATGGTCCACCTAGAGCCTTAATTCTCCATTCCTTTACTAAAGACACAACAATGGCTTTGTGATATGATATATTCACAGAGATTTAATACAATACAGCCAGGATCAAACAAAACTGAAATAATGATATTATGTTCAATGAAAACATTGGAAATCAACATAATTACAATTTCAAAACATATAAATAATGGTTCTCATGAGTACTTGAATCCTCAACCTTTACCTATTATATTTAAGCATTCTTTTAAAAAGGAATCCACTGATTATACCTCATGAAATAATATTACCATAACAGGTTCTAATTCATATAGCACATAGCTTGATTTTTGGACAATTAAAATTCCAAGCCTAAAATCAGAGTGAATAGTAAACTTTAAGGGTAAAATGTTTGCTTTTTTACCCTTTGATTATTATTTTTAATGGAATAAGAACAAAGGAGAATGTTGTTTCATGCCTGGGCATATGTATAAATGTACTGTACTGTTAACAGCCCAACAAATTAGCGGATTCATTCTACTCACTGATTAAATACCCATTTTATTACTCTCTCAAGTGGAGCACATGTATTTGGGTTTAATAAGAAAATATTAGAACCTCCACTTATATGTATTTTTATCATAACAATTAAGAAATAATCTAAGCTTAATGAGATTTACTGATTGACACTGGGCCTCACTTTGTCTTAAAGGAATAGGGGAGTTTTATAACACCTAAGGGAGGACAGTGACTTGTTTGGGATTATTATAGATATTCAGGTTCTCTCATATAATTTCTTTTTAAATATTTATTTATTTAGCTGTGTAGGGTCTTAGTTGTGGCATGCGGGATCTAGTTCCCTGACCAGGGATCGAACCTGGGCCCCCTGCATTGAGAGTGCAGAGTCTTAGCCACTGGACCACTAGGGAAGTCCCTCTCATCTAATTTTAACTAAACTAACCTGCTTACAAAATGAACAACTAATTAAAAGGTTTCCCACAAAGAAACTGAGGATTGGATATATTACCAATAATTCAAGCAAAAACCAAAAGGAAATGGCAAGAGTGATACTTATTACCATGACTTTATGAAGTAAAACAACAAGTACCTAATTGGATCTGACAAGGCATTGGTTAAAAAAACCTTAAGATTGTCAAGACCATCCATTTTTGTTAATGAGAAATTTCACCTAAGATATATTATGCCTTGAAATATTAGCTAACTATAGTGAAGCATCGTAATTAGTAAGGCTGAAAATATTGTTTATTAAATTTTCATTTCATATTTTTAAAATTTCTATTTTTGTACATTTATAGAATGTGCAATGTATTATGTTGAACCATATGAAATTGGTGATATTCAATTTCTTTTGCCTTTAAAAAATGTCAATTTCTGATGATATAACATATATTAGCACAAGTACATTCTTTATAAACACACACATACATATATTAGTTTAACATGCTTTACTAGTGGGGTAGGTAATCGAAAACATTTGCAGACTCCTGATTTACTAGATCTAGCGTACACATGTTCTAATGCAACTATTACATCCAGACAACGAAAAGCTAACAGTAGTTTTGAAGTCAATATACAACTCAGGGCTTCCCTGGTGGTGCAGTGGTTGAGAGTCCGCCTGCCAATGCAGGGGACACGGGTTCGTGCCCCAGTCCGGGAAGATCCCACACGCCATGGAGCGGCTGGGCCCGTGAGGCATGGCCACTGAGCCTGTGCGTCCGGAACCTGTGCTCCGCAACGGGAGAGGCCACAACAGTGAGAGGCCCGCGTACCGCCAAAAAAAAAAAAATACAACTCAATACACACTTTGGAGGTACAAATACAGGAAATAAACCTGGTTGTTAAGGGCACAGACTTCAGAGCCAGATTGCTTGAGTTTAGAACCTGGCTTCGTCACTTAATAGTTTAATGAACTTGGCAAATTACTTAATTTCTTTGGACCTCAGTTTGCTCAGCCATGAAATGAGAAGAATACCACCACATATCACTGACTCTTAAGATTTCACCTACTGAAAGACACACTCAGATTTCAGAGATAGTAAAATGTGAAAAACATGCATCTTAGACATGATAAAGCTCCTACTCCATAGAGTCGCTTGAGGATTAAATGAGATAATATAGGCAAAGTGCTTAGGATAGGGCCTGGCACATAAGTACTATATAAGTGTTAATTACTACTGCTTTTACTGCTAGAGCTGCTCTTCCTCTTCTTACTACTAGCAAAGTGCACTCATGTGGTATTCTTTAGAAAGTACTGACAGTTCCTGATGAACGGTCTTGGAAATAAATTTTCATGTATCCAAACCTGTTCGTGTTTCAAATTTTTTAGGCTTATCCTATTTGAGGAAATATGCCATTCGTTCATTCATTCAACATATATATTTTTGTGGGTTCTTATCACACTACTACTCTTATATGCCAAGTCCTAGGGATACAGTAATAAATAAAATAGATGAAATCTCTGCCTTTGTGGACTATATATTCTAGAAGAAGGAGAGAGATAATAAACAAAATATGTAGGTACATTTATATGATATGTTACATGATATATTAGATGGGGATTTAATGCTACAGGGAAAACTTAAACAGGGCTGGTTGGTGAATTTGGAGGAGAGATGGGGTTGGTGAAGAATGATAGCAGTTAATCCTTGGTCCATATGAACAAATTGGCTTTATCAGGATAACTATACATACTCTGTTCTTTCAATGCCTCATCCCATTTAAGTTCTTGAAAGTAGAAATGGGCACTTCATTTTCCCTGCTATTAGATTCAGTGTTTAAGGAAAAATAACATTTTCAACTGAAAGTCAGATGCCTGAGAGTCTGGTATTTAAACAAACATGAAAGGTGCAATAACACCAAAGTGATAATAATTGAGTTAATCTAAAGCTAAACTCTTTCAAATTTCAGTTTTGAAATGCTTCACCTTTAAAATCCCATGGTGAGTAAACTCCCTATGGGGAAGCTGTGTTACCACATGTTTGCAGTGATGGGAAGCGAAGCCCGACAGCGTTACTGTGAAATCGTTTGCATATGGAGGTGACTCAGGAGTTCTACTTCCCTGAGTTGTAAAGCTCATGCAAGCTGGCCACCACACTTCTTTGGTGACACTGCCTCAGTGCAATTGAAGCTTGGTAGCTGACTTGCTTTCAGTGCAGCTCAACTTGACCTCCAAGACCACTATGTGCAAATGACAACTAGATGGACTGGGACTAGGATGCCAAATTAGTAATTTATAGTACAAAATGGAATGGTCAGACAAATCACATCCTCAAATCTGGTTGGTCATCTGCTTTGCTCCATCAAGGACCCCTCCTTGGAAAAACCATCAGTGCCAAGAGATTTCCCATTGTGTCAAACCACAGCAAAGGAAATCACAAATCCACAAGGGACATTACAGAGCCCAGATAACCTGGAAGAACACCCTTCTTCACTACAGGGACAGCTTTTCCACTCTCTGCATACTCTCTAAGACTGATGAGAGACTCTTCTTCTGGAAGCAGAGACATATACTCTATACTTCCTTCTAACCGACTGCCAGGCTTATGCTCTTCCTCTCTACCCTAGATTCAGCAATGCTGGCTGTTCATGGAGCTAAGTCTTGATAATTTCTTTAATGCCTTGAAACATAGTATGCCTGATATTTGCTGATGGACTGAAGAAAAGTTAAAAATCCCAACTTGGGATCCCATCAGCTTGCTTTCATGAGTATCTGTTATGGAGAAGCATATGGTAAGATACAATTAAATTAAATCTACCTCACAAGACAAGTGACATTTTGACAACAGTAGCATTAATTGAGCCAGAATTAGAGACCCAGCAAGGTACCATAAAACAGATGCATTTCTCCTAATTCCTATATAATTTTGATTTTGACTTTATAATGATTAGTTACCCCTTTATGATAAGTGTAAACTTTTTCTATTTATATTCCTGACATTCAGATTGATGGTACTTAGGAATAGAAACACCAAGGGATGATGATTTAATTCTAGTCACATATTAAAAGGTCACCATGTAAACAAAAGAAGCAAGCAGATAATCTCAAAACTATGACTAGAGATGGCAGATTTCAGCTCAATATCAGAAAGTAATTACAATAGGCTATAGAAGCAATGTCCAAATGACAGGGGTATCATTGTAGGAAGTATGTGAGTAGAAGATCCTTTCAGGGGATTGCTGTTCTTTGGGTGTTTGGATTAGCTGCTCTTGCCTGGGATCCTTTCAGCTCTCAATTTTATGAATCTTAACAGTGAAAGCAGAGGTGGTCAGCTAAGGTGTTTTCCTTTACTGAGCTAGAAGCAACCCAAAACTTTGAATCCAGGTGACCTGATGTCATATTTATAGGTCAGTACCCAGGAATTTGACACAGTTCCTCTTCAACACTCCAAGATAAAAATGGTACAGATTTTTAAGATGAATGTATGCCTAGTGAGCATAGTTTATACTGTCTCTGAGGAAGAATAGTTTATTCAATACTTGACATGATTATTTTTTGCCTTCATAGATTGACTTCAAGTCTTTTTGAATGTGAACCTTACAATGGGGTTTGTCATTAATATATTTATTTGGGTTTGACATAGAGAGGTTCAAAGAAAAAATGCTGGCAGACCTCATAAAATTAAGAAATAGGTATTGAATTTAAAAATTCTTGGAGGGACACACAAATAGTGACTATTATCCTTGCATGCCATGGAAGATAGTGGTGAAGGGAGGAGAGACACTTCTGTGGTTCATTTATTCTCTTCCACAGTTTCCAAATTATTTGCAAGAATATATATATATATTTATATTTATATATATTACTTTTATAATAATAAAAAAGTGAACATTAGGAATTTATTTACTTATTTATTTATTTTTTTAATTTTTTTTTTTGCGGTACGTGGGCCTCTCACTGCCGTGGCCTCTCCTGTTGTGGAGCACAGGCTCCGGACGTGCAAGCTCAGCGGCCATGGCTCACGGGCCCAGCCGCTCCGCGGCATGCGGGATCCTCCCAGACCGGGGCACGAACCCGTGTCCCCTGCATCGGCAGGCGGACTCCCAACCACTGCACCACCAGGGAAGCCCTAGGAATTTATTTTTAGGAAAACTGAACGTGTTGTGAAACATGACTGCCACATTTGGCTCTGGATCTCCAGGGACTATCAAACAGGATGTGCTCAAGCAATGCTCATTGGATGAGTATGTGAATGAATGAATGAACAGACTGCTGCTGTGGAAAGTGAGACTGGACTTCCAAGATTGAAAAGTTCTTAACACTGAGATACGGTTCTAATAAAGGCTGTGTCTATCTGTAATAGGTCTTACCATTGACTTTCAAAGTAATCCGCTTGTAGTCGGCACCGCCATAGCTGATCAAGCAGCAGTAAATCCCTGCATCCTGCAATTTCACATCTGTTATCTGAAGTGCAGCCTTCCCCAAGGGGAGCTGGTTCTTCAACAGCAGGGCCCTCTGGTTGTAGCTACTGTGCTGAACATTCAGGTCTTCTTCCCCATTCACAAACTGAATAATTTTCTTATCCTCCATTTCCCAGTAAACAACTAATGCCAACAGGTTTAATTGTTTGTCTACTGGAAATCTGCATTCCAATGTCACATTGTTGCCATACTCTACCACATACAGGTCCTTGGGAACTGTGATAGTAAATGCTGAAAAGAAAGATGACCAATCTTTAGAAGATGGAAAATTCCTCAAAAAATTTATAGAATGAGTGCAGGGTTTATAAAAGCTTTATCTGGTCACTTATGTGATAATTACATTTAAGGACTTACTTCCCTGAAATACATATTTTATCCAGTGAGCTTGAGACATGTTTTAGGATGTATATCTCACACCTGAGTTAAAATAATAAAATTAGCTAAACAAGTTGTCAAAGTCCCAAAATTCATAAACATACACTACTGTAGAAATATTACATGGTAATGGGGTGCTTATAACCAGGGATACTTTGTTTCATGTGGACATCCCCAGAATGTCCTTTGACTGGACACTCATTGCCTTTTACATAGTCTAAATCATAGATTCCAATAGTCCTCTCTACATACTGCCCGAAACTCTTAATCAGTTGTCTGGCCAGAGGTAGATGAGTACAGAGATTTAGGGAGGGTCTCAGGCTGATGCCAGTACTGTGTTACCCTGACACTGCATGTACACTATAATTCTTCCTTAGAATATACTCACTGGGAGAAGCAGGTCATAGAGCAAGGTGGATAGAATGATCCTGCCCTTGTTTAAAACAAGCATATAAAAGTATACACATAGGCCATTTCCTCAGATATTTTAAGTAATTACCCTTGGGAAATGGATAATGGATAATGAGTAATGGATAAATGGATATGGGTTAATTTTGTTTCTTTAGATGTGTCCATACTCCCTATATCTTTGTCCATTGAAATAGGTTTATGAAGTATGTTTATGAATTATAATAAAGGAAAATAGAATGTCTTCTCTACAAAAATTATATCTATTTTATTATTTCAGTTTTTATCTTATAGTTAAAATATTTAAATTATAGAACCTAATGAAAGGATTTGGTGTCTTACCTTTCAGTAAACAACAGTAAGCCATGAATGTAAAGATACTGTATATCCTCATCTTTCTGGAATGACCTAATTATGGAAAACACAAAAAGAAAACTGCTTTACTCAATAATTGAATATCCAGACATTATGGGACTTGGCAGTTTTAACTGAAAGTGTCTTTTGATAACCAGACAATGACTGATTTGTAAGTGCTGAAATACAGCAGGGAATTTAGAAGTTCAATACCGTCACTTAATATCCCACAGCCACATAAAGCTAAATGAAAAAAAAAAAGGTACTATGATGAGAATTCTAATTACAAGGCCTGTAAAAAAACTTGTACACTCAAAAGAAACCAAGAAGAAAATATTGCACCAAAATCCTCTCAATTACTTTTTGTTTTTTTCCTGCAGTGTAACATATCTAGAAATCCAAGCCTGCCCTATACAAAATTTCAAAGCAAGAAGAATCTGACTTCCATTATCTCCCACCTTTCAATGCCTTTTCCCCCCGCTAGCAGCTTTCATCCTACCCTTTAACTATTCAAGCCTTCCGCATTATTATCCCAACCATGCCAGTTCTCCCTCAGGTTCCATCCTTCTAAAATCTCCTCTTTCGTCCTTTGCTTATCCCAAATTATAAATTCCATTCCCTCAATAAACTGATTCCACTAGTAGTAGGGGGAGTGAGAAGGAGAAACAGTTGGATTCAACCACTTCACATTAAGATGTGACTCACTCACAGCCCTCTTTCAGGGGTATCTGCCTAGATTCTACACTTCATTGTGTCATCCTGCTTGAAATTCTACCAATTCTTTGATTCAGCAAACATTGATTGAGTAGTTTTTCTGTGCCAGGCACTAATTTAGGCATTAGGGATACAGCAGTGAACAGGAAAGAAAAGTCACTCTCCTCTAGGAGCATATATTCCAGTAGAGGAGTAAATAGAGATTTTTGTTCTATAGTTCAGCAAATCTGTTTATTTATTAACGTATTTTCTCTCTCATGTAATACATACATTTACATTTTGAGAAGAAAGCCAGCTTTCTGCCTTAGGGTCTCTTCGACCTTTGTATACATACAAAAACTCACAATTGATCAATTAATCAATGTTACACATATGTAAGGCAGAAGATTTATGTCATGCATATATAAATAGCTCCTAAAAATCAATAAGAAAAGTACACACAACCCAACAGGAAAATGAGCCAAAGGTTCTAATATACAGTTCAGAGAATAAGAAATACAAATGACATCTAAACATAGGAAACGATGTTCAATTTTACCAATAAAGAAAAAAATAATAGTTTAAGATATGAGACACCATTTTTCACTTATTAGCTTGATCAAAATTATAAAGTTTCCTAATATTTAGCATTTCTGAGGATATGAACAAATGGGTTTCCTTACCCACTAATGGTAGGAATGTGAAGTTGTATAACCTTTTTTGGAAGGGCAATTTGGTAATCTCCATTAAAATCTTAAATGTATATGTCATATTAGCTTTCACTTCCTCTCTGAGAAATATATCTTACAAAAACAAAAACACATGCATGTAACAATAGACGCCAAAGGATTAGCATTGCTAATACCAGCCCCAAACTGGGAAAACCCTAGATAGCCTAAATGGTTAAATAAATTTTGGTATGTCCATATAATGTAATACCATTAAGGAAAGAATACATGTAGATGAATTGACTTTGTAAAGATGTAGAAAGTAAGTTGCAGAACAGTATATGTAGCAGAAATCCACTTTTGTTTAAAAAAGAAATAATCTGTGTGTGTATATTTAGACATGGAAATTTACAGAAAAATCCATACCAAGATGCTGACAGTGATTATATCTAGGAACAAAATTAAAGGAAGAATAGTCAGGTATTTATCTCTTTATAGTTTTCAAAAGGAAGAAAGGATGGGAGAAAAAGAAGAAAAGGGAGATGAGATTGTGAATGACTTCTTTGGTGTTTTCCTGTGTCCAGATTTTCAAACCAATGAATATGTTTTATTTTTATTAGAAAAAAATAAAAACAAAATTTAATGAACCATTTCATCTTGCCAAGCTGCAGAGAGTTTGGCAGATGGAGTAGTATAATGGAAAGAACCCCAGAACCCCAAACATCAGAGTGGAGGTAGAATAATGGCATGTGTTTATTTTTCTGTTTTTTCTTCATTATTAAAATAATATTACCACATTATGGCAAATAAGAAAACAAGGGGAAAGTCACCCACTATTCCATCACTTAACCCAGGGAGCATTTGGTAATGCCTGGAAACATCTTTAGTTGTCAAAATGGGGTGGAGAGAGGGTTGCTACTATCTAGTGAGTAGAGGCCAGGGATGCTGCTAAACCTCCTACAATGCACAGGACGGCCCCCACAGCAAAGAACTATCTGTCCCAAAATGTCAACAGTGCCAAGGCTGAGAAACCTTGCAACCACTGTGAGCATTTCGGTATATATTTTTGTTCCAGTCTTTTCCCCATGAAGCTTTTAAGAACAATTATACACATAACACCCATTTTTTCATTTAATATTTTGACAAATAATTTCCATTTTACTGCATGATATTTATAAGTATCTTGTTTAGTGGTCCCGTAATGTTTCGTTTCCCTGTTGTTAGGTAAGGATTGTTTCCAGTTTTAAAAATATAAGTATTTGTGTATTCAGCAAATATTTGTTAAGTATCTACTGTGTACCAGGTCCCAGGCTAGGCCCTGAGGACAGATTTTCCTCAAGCGGAACTGTTGATCAAGGACAAAGAACATTTTCCTGGTTCTTGATGCATGTGGATAATTGGTGCCAGTTACATTGGGTCTTCACCTAGCACTTGGTTTTGTTTAAAATATATATTTTTTCTAATTTAATTACAAAGTACAACTTGAAGTTTGTTGATTGTTTTAGTTCTTTTGTGAATTATCTGATCATTTTTTGGCCTGTTTATCTTAATGGTTTCTTATCGACCTGTATGAATCCTTCATGTTCATATAGATATACACATACAAAAACGGTAAAATAAAACAAATCATCATCATCCTCTTGCTAGTGTTAGGTGCATAATTCTTATTTCACTCCTTTCTATCTGCCCTGTAAATGGGAAACAGGGATGGCAGCCAGGACTGTGAGAACACAAAGGTTGCTGAAATGAGGCTGCAGCAGCTATCTGCCTATCCTTTATTTGGGCCAGAGTTGATTATACCACAATTATAAAATACTAATGTGATATAATAAACACAAATACATTTATTGGGCAGAAGAAAACTTAAGATGCCCCTAACTCCAAGCAAAGAACTGAATAAAACAGAGGGGCATTAAATCCACTCATGGATTTCAACTAACTTTTCCAATGTTTATGGCATACCCTGGTGGAGTTCCTACCCCTTAACGAATTTAGTTGAAAATTTTAGAGGTAATAAAAGTTTACTGGAAGGTGATGGATTAGATCTGATATTTACCTAATTCCTCATTACAGCTCCTCTTCCAAGGCTCCATTCCCTTGGAGTGCAGTTGTTGTTAGTGGAGGGAAGATAGGTAGATAGATAGATAGATAGGGACCATGTAAACAGACATGGTCTTTGACCTCTAAACTCCACATTAGGGCAGTTGGTCTGAGAACGCTGACATCTTCTTCAGGGAAGAAACTGACAGTATATCTGAATTCCCAGACAAGAACTGAGACATTTAAAGAGCAAGGAAAACGTGAACTAGGGGAGAAGCGATGGTTCATTCAGGATGGGGAAGCAGGTTTGTCCCTGGGGGAACCCAGTGTAACACTATGGAGCTGATACTACTTCTCTAGCTTGTTAAGGTAGGATGGGTAGGACGAAAAGACAGGGAAAAGAACTCAAGCTTGCTTTCTCAAAAGTATAAGCAAGGAGTGTCTTGATATCTGTTAGTTCAGGGTTTCCTTTGACTGTTACCTCATGTATATGTACTATGATTTGATTTTTTAAAATTCCTAGAGTTTGAAAATGTGTCTCCAAGTAAGCTGAAAATCTACCCAATTAACAGATCGAGTTGATCTTTTTAAACCTCTATGAAATACAAAACTCTATTAAACTCGACTAAACCCTGTGTCCTTTCTCCTTCCCCTCAGTCACACTGAGATATTCTTGTACATTTCCCAGGTGTCGCTTCAATTCCCAATAGTATTTCTGTGGCTTCCTTTAAGACCACACTCTAACTATTGTCCTGTAACCTCTGCCTACTGTACTTAACTGAAAAAAAGGCTATTTTTTTCTTTAGAGTATCACAGTTCTTAAAAACTGCTGGGCAACTGTCAATGTGAACTGACACAACCTTTCTGGAAGGAAATTTTCAATTTGTATCAAAAGGCTGTTAAAACATTCAGACTTTGATTAAGTAGTTACACTTGTAATAGTTAATCTGAAAGAAATAATCAACAATGTCCCAGATATTTATATGCAATGATGTTCAGTGAATGGCTAAAATAGTGAACCACTGTAAATAATCTTTATGTCCAGCATGGGGGATTAATTTTGTTTGGTTATCCAGCACCATGGAATGTAGCCATTAAAAAAAATCACATTTTTATAAAGCAATTTAATCCATAGAAAATCAGCCACATTAGGTGCACAAAACAAGGTGGAACAATGATACATGAAGACTCCCTGTGTTTTAAGACAAACCCAAACTGAACTCTGACATAGGCTAAGCTCAATGTGGCTAAGAAATGTTTAACATTTTTTTCCTTAGGCTCCTCTCTTCCGCCTTCAGGACTCCTTTAGTCCTCAAAGCAGATAGAGCAAAGAACTCCGGCTCGGGTATCCTGGCTCTTACAGCAGGAAGGGACCTTAAGAGATGCTGCAGGTGTGATGACTTACCCAGATCAGACTGCTAGTGAGCAGCTAAAGGTGGACTAGGACCCGGGTGTCCCGACCTCCAACCCAGGAATTTCCCTCTAAACCCGGTTACCCACCTCAGGACCACATTCGTGAACGCGCAGGAACATATATGTACTTACAGGATAAGCAAAACTGAATCCCCCTAGCTAAAGGCTAAACTTGTTACTTGTTCCAATTAACCTTAATCGGCTCTACTGCACCCAAACCATCACGCTTTCCCTTTCCCTTCTCCTCTCTCCATTCCAAAGAAAGGGTCTGTTGACGTTCCGTTTTAAAGTGCCCAGCGAGATGGCCAAAGATGCTGGCCAGTGAGCGAGAACGCTCCCTACCTGCGGGCGGGAGACTCTCGGCTGGCAGGGAGGCTTCGGCACTGCGCCCGGGACTGCGAGGACCACCCGCGGCGGCCCGCAGCTAAAGAGCTAGCGTGGATGAGTTCTCCGCCCACCCCTGCCAGACAGTCCCGCCCCCGGGTCAGCACCCCACGCCCCCGACTGGATTTTCTTACGCTGCCGCTAAACTTGTAATCTGGAAAACAAACGGATTTTTCATTTTTGGAATAAAAAGTTAGATAAGTGAAACCAAAAGTGAAACTTAAGTCCGGCTTCCCGTAAATCAGCTTTTCAAAAGAAAAGCTTCAAAGATTAAAACAAATCAATATCTGATGTTTTAAACAATGTTTAAAAACAAACCAACGTCCGAAATCATCGCAAAGATTTCAGACGTTGGTTTTACCTTCAGAATTCACACTCTAAATTCTGCCATGCGGTTTCCCCTCTTTCTGATAAAAGCTTTTACAAGATAACGGATCATCCTGATAACTTGCTATAAATCTACAACATAAAGAAAGTAAAATGACGGGCCCATATGGCTTTGGTTTTTATTCTAGAAAGTAGGTGTGTGTGATAGGAAACATTTTTAAAACGTGGACTTTGTCACTTCCTCAAAGTTCCTCGACATAGTGAAACTATCATTGCTTTGTCATTAAAATAACTTCCCATCAGGACTTAAACCTTTTAAGAATGCTCTGGATCCCTGCTATCCTGCCGTCCTTGAGATCCACGTTGGGGTAGCACAGGTGAGGGTTAAGAAAATCCTCTGGTAACTCCGGATCAATGGTTGAGCCCAAGCTGAAACCACGTCACTCATACTGAGGCGGCGGCAGAATTGTGTCAAACATTCCCCACTACTGAACTTCTAGATGCGGCTCTCTTGCTCTTTCGTTCTCTCGCTCTCTAGCGCAGTCTCGCTCTCCCTCTCTTCTTTCTTTTTAATTTTAAATTGATATATTGGACTCTTCATTGTTTGCTTTTCCTGTTTATTCATCTCAACTGCAATTCAAATTACTGCATAATGAATGAATATTGAGCTGTCTGTTGTCTTGGATACGGCATTTGCTTCCCAAGTAAGAATTTTCACATTCTTAGAATATCACATATTTTTATTTATTTTTTATTTTTGATGTTGGGGGTAGGAGTTTATTAATTAATTTATTTTTGCTGTGTTGGGTCTTCGTTTCTGTGCGAGGGCTTTCTCTAGTTGTGGCAAGCGGGGGCCACTCTTCATCGCGGTGCGCGGGCCTCTCACTATCGCGGCCTCTCTTGTTGCGGAGCATAGGCTCCAGACGCGCAGGCTCAGTAGTTGTGGCTCACGGACCTAGTTGCTCCGCGGCATGTGGAATCCTCCCAGACCAGGGCTCGAACCCGTGTCCCCTGCATTAGCAGGCAGACTCCCAACCACTGCGCCACCAGGGAAGCCCACATATTTTTATTTTTTAACTTGGAAAAATACAGAAGATACTGCCTTTACAATCTGGTGGGGAGTGTGAAATTCTCTTTAGCCTCAATAAAATTGTAATAGACTTGGAGATTAGCTCAAATCTCTTTTTGAGGCCACATGGTGAAATAGAGCCGCGTTTTCTCAACTTTATTCCCTGTGATATTTTCTATTTAACCAGTTTCATGTTTCTAAAAATGACACTCAAGACCCAGGACATAGATTTCAAGACCTGCTAGTGGGGTCATGACCATCACGTGGGAAAAAGCTGGCTCTAGAGCCACCTACCACTAACTAGCTGAGTTTTCCTGAGCAAGTAATTTACTGAGTAGGCAGGAATAAGTGATCTCCTCTTAGATGGCCTCTATGATGCATGAATAATTTTTAAAACTGGGGGCGGTGGGGGGGGATGTTTAGTTGCTTGTTTATTTGTTTTACCAAAGCAATGTTCAAGGTCTACATAATGATCAGCAGGCAAGGCAGGAGGTGAATGGAATTTGCCTTTCTCTGAAGTTGTTGATGGGAATGGAAGGTATTTACTCAGCTTTCTCCTCAGTGATTTACATATTACTAATCTGAGGATTTGTGATTTTGTTCATCTCACCCACCTGTTTCCATTCATTTTCCTATACTGTTTATCAAGTTTCTTAATGAAGCCATTCATTTTCCTATACTGTTTATCAAGTTTCTTAATGTTTTTATATCATCTGGAGATAGAAAAACAGGATATGTTTAGAAAAAAAGAGATTTTATCACCTCAAGTATATGAAAATCTAACAGCCAGGGGGGCATCAGTCCCAAAACCTTGTTCGTGTTTTCTGATTTGGGTGAAGTGGATGGAGGAGTGCTGAGATATGAGACGAGCAGTGGGAAGCCAGAGCTATAGAACTAGACACCTGATCATCTACAGTATCGCCATGTCCCATTCACACTCCTCTTAATCTGTTCATTTTTAGAGGTTAAAACTCATCATTGCTGATGTGCTATTTCTCAGAGTGTTTCTGAGGGTCACTTGCATCACAGTCGACTTGGGATAGGTGTTTAAATACAGATTCCTGGTCTCTGCCACAGACCTGTTAAATCCAATTCTCCTGGGGGTGGTCCTGGGAGTCTACATTTCGAAACCATCCCCACATGAGTCATGTGCACACTGAAGTTTTTAAAATTGATGATATAATGTTTAAGGGAAAAAACTGAACGAAGAGTTCTTTGCAAGTACAGTTTTAACTCTCCTTCCTCCATCTAATTTGGTTTAATTGGTATCAACACCATTCTTCACTCTACCTCTGCCTGTTCTACTTTCACTTTTGCCCCTAAAACAAGAGAGATGATCTTTGTTTGTCCTGACCTTAGAGAGAGAGATTCCAGGCTCTTACAAGTGGGTCTGAAGTGATACTAGCAATTTCCTGGTGAAGGAGCAATTTCCAGTATACTTTCTTGATCATCAAGAACAGGACATAATAAAGATACTTAAACAAACAAAAAGATATTAACAAACTGCTTTGTTTTCACTGAACATGTAGAAATGCATTTTATTATTATATATAAAGACAACATCCAGATTTTCCCCCATGTTCTAGTTTTGATTGTGTAGGGTTGTAAACCACTGCCGTATGTTATGCCCATTTCTCTCTCTCTGTCCCCATCCACCAACTCTCACCTTCTGTTGCCTCCACCTTTGCCATCCACCCCCATAGACTGGTGCCAAACAGATTTCATGGAGCAGAACACTTTGCTCTGGTTATACAATACAACTGTTTAAAATACAGGAGCAATTAACATGTGTGGATGGCGGAGTGGTAGCAGCTTTCATCACTTGACACCCATGCTCAGATGCTTCTCTTAACAAGGGCTGTATTTGTCTCTTACTTCCTGTCCTGAGCTGGAGGAGAGCTGGTCAGGTGAAGAGCTCTTGGCTACAAAGGGCAGCTCCCACACTGTGGGTTCTTTAAAACAAAGATGAGGCCTCCAGCAATGTCCCTTGTCCTCAAGGAATTCATAAACCCAGACATAGATAATTATGACCCAGGTAAATGCTGTGGGAAGTTGGGAACACTCTATGGTAAATAATTTAATCCCAAGGAATCTCAATAAATGAACTGAAGGCTGCTAAAAATAGAATTTACAATTGGGAGATACCCTTTCAGAGAATACTGGGAAATATTTTATAGATTTAATATCTTAGAATTAAGTAACCTAAGTGAATGTTGTACAAATGAAACAGTCCCCTTGTGAGTCATTTTACTTGGTTCGAGAACATGATTTAGTTCAAATGTGTCTGTAGAATTGCCTCCGGGAGTATTATTTTATACTCATTCTTGGTTTTAAACTAAGAACAATATGACTTCTAAAAGTCTAAAAGTCTTCAGAATCTCTACTTGAAAGGGAAAAACTGATTTTTGTTCTCTGGTATAAGTAGTTATTCAAAGTCCAATTATAGTCACATCCAGGTTACTGGATCTAGAACCTAATTAATCTGCCATTCATGATAATAGATTCATCATAAAAGAATGAGATATACTTTTTTCTTTTCCCCACCCTATCCTGAAAGGACAGCAAGGCCTTTCTGTTTCTGGAGAGAGAGAGAGAGAGAGAGAGAGAGAGAGATTCCAAACATAAACTAATAAATTTCAGATACTGGAGAGTCCTATTAGAAACAAAAAAAGAAAGAAAAAGAGGTGGGACAATATGATAGAATACCTAGATGTGAGACTCCTTTAGTGTGGTGGCCAGGGAAGTCTTCTCTAAGAGGCGATATTTGAGAAACAAATTATGAAGACAAACATGAAATGATTTGCAGGAAGAATATTCCTGGTAGAGGGGTCAACAGATGCAAAAACCAAGGCTTTTGCAACAGATGCAAAAACTTGGCAAGTTTTAGGGATGGAACAAATGTTATTGTGGCTGGAGTACAGAGTGAAAGGAGGGGTGGTGATCAGATCAGATCATGGTTTTGAGGACCAAGGGAAGAGGGCTGGATTCTAATTGCAATGGAAAGCTGCTGGATAATTTAAAGCAGTAGGGTTACCTGATTGGTGCTCCAAAAACATCACTCTAGCTGTGGTCTGAAGCATGGAGTATAGAGGGGCTAGCATGGAAGCTGGGAGTCCTTTAGGAGCTATTGCTGTAGAGTACATTCAAAATATAATTTGGAAGCAGAACTAATAGAACTTGTTGAAGGATATTAGTAGTAATAGAGAAAAGGGAATCAAGGATGATAGATATGATGTAATACGCTATTTCAGGGTAGGATACTACAGCCAGAATTACAGGCTTTCACAATATTTTAGACTTAGAGCTCACAATGTGAGCTCTTTAAGGAAGTCTAAAAATGAAACACAAACTCTCCCATTAAATTATCACTGGAAACTGGTTGTAACCCATCAAGAGACTCATAACTTATTAAGAAGAAATTATTGATACAATCCTTTGTAGAAATGGAAAGTTGGTGGCAGTATGCTGGAAGTGGTCCAAGGCCTTGGTCCTGCTCATGGGATTTAATCAGGGTACAACATGACTGGTCTAGGTCATTTGCTATCATAAGCTGAAGAAATTCACTGGGAACACTGTGCCAGAGATGAGAGGAAAAGGCTCTGAGTTATGGTTAGAGCATTCCTTTGACAAATATGCAGAGGGAAAGCCTCAGAGGCTGAGAAATGCCATCAGCTAAGGCAATAGCATTAAGGTGTGTGTTTGTGTGTACTCTAGGCATGAATTGGTTTACTTCTTACAGAATATGGCAAAGTGGAGAGTAAGGGGAAAGCATAGGTTTCATTCGTGCTTGTGCATGAACAAGACAAGTAGAAACATGAATTATAGACTAGAGTAATAGACATTTTACAACCCCAAGCAAAGGCCCCTGACCCAGAATCTCTTGCTAATTTTGTGTTAATCAGAGCTGACATAGCAAAAGAGAAGACCATAGCAGCATTTTAAGAGTAAGATAGGATAGTGACACACTGACCTCAAACACTGAGGTAGAATTGGAAAGTCAGAAGCAACATAGGCATACTTCTACCTCTTGAAGTCCAACTCTCTCAAGGCAAGGCCCCAGGGGGTGAAGATAAGCAGTTTCCCCAAACCCAGTGAGGCCTGGCCTAGGTATGAATCGGACAAGGTGGTTCTAGTTTGCAGCTGATACATTGTAGGGTTGATATCAAGCAAAATCATGGGGTATCCATTATTCTGTATGTCACAGACTCTAACAGTTATGAAGATAACCCTCATTTGCTTGGTTTTGATAAAGGGGATAATTAATGCCTGCTGTAACCACAAAAAAATTAACCCAGTGAACTCATCATTTTTCATGTGTTCTTGGAGATCCTAAGAGGAAGATGGGGAGTTGGCATGGGGAAGAATAAAGTCTAACATTGACATGCTTGTTCCCAGGTTTGCTTAGAAGAAGTTTAATGGACACTGTCAGGCCAAGCTTTGCAGCACTTCCAGGGATTCTTGCCACAGAAGGAAGAGAAAAAGAATGAAGAATGAACTCTGGGTATGGTTTTTTGATGTCCCTGGATGGCCCAAACAGATGTTGTGTCCCTCTTGTGAAGAGCTGCAAAAGAGAGAATATATAATAAGGTAGATAATTTTATTCATCAGAGTTCAGGGACTGTTTTCAACTTAAATTGAAATGCTACCTGGGATTCCAGGTAGGAGACCAGGCTGAATTTCTCAGAGGTGCAGGAGGCTGAGAGTCACTGGCTAGGAACAGGGTTATATGAGTGGCATGGGCTGTAGGTGAAGGAACTTATCAGGGGTTTAGTCTAGTGATATGGAAACCTCATGGTTGAGAAGAAGGAAAAATATAAGCAGCTACTGTAAGTGGAAAAAATATTTGGAAAGAGAGAAATATCTAGGGAAGATTTTAGGCGTTTCCTGTTAAATATGCTGTGCAGATCATTTGCAGGGACTGCTTAAGAAAGCTTATGTATTATTCTTAAGTGCTTCAGCTGTCAGTTGATGTTTTCTTAGATTGCTGTTACATGCTTGTACTGAACCATGTGAAGCTTCAGTTTTATTTAGGTTACACTCTGAAATATAATCGCCTACTGCTCAAAAAAGCTTTGCTTGACTTGGCTGCCTCCTTAAATTACTATCATCTCTGATTACTCCATTTCAATGGCAAACCTCAACAAACTATATCATCACTTTTTCAACTATCAAGTTAACAAAACAAAATGCAATAATTATAATAAAGATTATAAATATAGCATTTTTATAAAATATATAGCATTTTTTGTCAGACACCATGTCTTGATGATTTACCTACATTAGCTAGTTTATATTTTACAACAATTCTATGAAGAAGATACTATTATCGCCCCTATTTTATTTTTAATTAATTAATTTATGGCTGCATTGGGTCTTCATTGCTGCATGTGGGTTTTCTCTAGTTGCGGCGAGCAGGGGCTACTCTTTGTTGTGGTGTGTGGGCTTCTCATTGCGGTGGCTTCTCTTGTTGAGGAGCATGGGCTCTAGGCACATGGGCTTCAGTAATTCTGGCGTGTGAGCCCAGTAGTTGTGGCTTGCAGGCTCTAGAGTGCAGGCTCAGTAGTTGTGGTGCTTGGGCTTCGTTGCCCCAAGGCATGTGGGATCTTCCCAGACCAGGGATCAAACCCGTGTCCCCTGCATTGGCAGGAGGATTCTTAACCACTGCACCACCAGGGAAGTCCCTATCACCCCTATTTTAGACATGGGGATACCAAGGCACAAAACTTAAGTAACGTGTCTGAGCTTATATAACTAGGAAGTGGTACAGCTGAGATTCAAACCCAGGTACTGTGGCTTTAGTGTCTATGCCCTTAACTACCATATAAGTGTATACTTGTTCACTGCTGGTGGCATCATGTATTTGTTCAACCTCAAAAAATTAAACATAGAGTTTTCATTTAACCCAGCTAATTCTACTCCTATGTATATAACTAAGATAATTGAAAACATAGGTACAAAAAGTTGTACATGAATGTACATGGCAGCACTATTCATAATAGCAAAAAGTAGGAACAATCCAAATGTTCATCAGTTTTGAATGGATAAACAAAATGTGGTATATCTATACAATGAAATATTACTCAGTCATTAAAAGGAATGAAGTACTGACACATGTTACAACTTGGATGAACCCTGAAAACCTTATGCTATGTGAAAGAAGCCATATACAAAAGGCCATATGTTGTATGATTCTATTTATATAAAATGTCTAGAATACACAAATCTATCGAGACAGAAAGCAGATTAAGAGTTGCCAGGGGCTGGTGGGGGAAGGGGGACAATGGGGAGTGACTGCTAATGGGTATGGGGTTTCTTTTTGGGGTGATGAAAATGTTATGGAATTAGGTAGGGGTGATAGTTGAACAACATTTTGAATATACTAAAAGCCACTAAACTGTACTCTTTTAAACGGAAAATTTTATGATATGTGAATTATATCTCAATCTAAAATTTTCTAGGTAGGGAGAAAACAAGATTTGAGTCCACTGCTGCCATTATATTACAGTGCCATATGGTGTCACTTGAGGAATGGACAAAGTCCAGAGAAGGCTGTCCAAAGCTCAGTGATGCTCTGCTGGTTCAGATTGTGCCCAGGCTACAGTATGCCCCATGAATGAAGTCTAAAGTTAAAATTCAGACTGTGTTCCAGAGTATGCGCAACACAATTCCAGAATAGCTTAATACTGAAGACTTCTATCATTATCCCCACACATGCTCTTCTTCATAGACTGAAGTTCTTGGCTAAACCTGTTTCCCATTTTAATGAAGAAATTCACACTCCTTTCAAAAGCATCCCCTTAAAAGAGAATACCTCTAAGCACATCTTGAACTTTCAAAAACTTTTAAAAAATTTATTACTCTATAAACTTTTATTTATTATTCTAAATATTCTTTTTTAAATTCTGGGGCTTCCCTGGTGGTCCAGTGGCTAAGAATCCATGCTCGCAATGCAGGGGGCCCAAGTTCCATCCCTGATCAGGGAACTAGATCCCACATGCCACAACGAAGATCATGCGTGCCGTCACTAAGACCTGATGCAGCCAAATAAATAAATAAATAATTTTTAAAAATAAAAAATAAATTAAAAAAATAAATTCTCATTGGAGTATAGTTGATCTACAGTTTTGTGCCAGCTTCAGGTACACAGCAAAGTGAGTCAGCTACACACATACACATATCCACTCTTCCTTAGATTCCCCTCCCATATAGGCCACCAAAGAGCACTGAATAGAGTTCCTTGTGCCACCCAGTAGGTCCTCATCAGTTATCCATTCCATACATAGTAATGTGTATACGTCAATCCCAATCCCCCAATTAAAAACTTTGTTGTCTTAAAAAACTATTTTATGGATATACAGGGAAATATTGAGTAATTTTACTGTCCTGAGGTAGGGGACTTTAAATGAGTTGAGGACTTTACGGATTTTACATCAATTCTTTCTATAATATGTATACTATTTAATCCAGTATTTCCAATCAAAATATTAAAAAGCTATATATATATGAGGCGATCATCATGATGTTATTTTTTTTAGGGTCTGGGAAGCCATCTAATTCTTTTTTAAAATTTTTTTATTTTATATTGGAGCATAGTTGGTTAACAATGATGCTACTGACAGTAGCAAAAAAAATCAGAAATATCCAATGATGGAAATTGTATACATACTTGCTGAAAATCTTACATATGTTAAATGGTATATATGAATTCCATTTAACAACATGAAAATCCTTATGCTATAATACAAAATGATTTTTAAAAGTACCTATTTGTATGTGTGTATAAAGCATATATACATACATTCACAAATTCATACAATTAGAAATAATGTACACACCAGTTAGTTATATGTCATTTGATATTGAAATAATTTTCCTTTAATCTTCTCACCCCACAGTCTATAAAATGTGTTCAATATCTATACCAAGATTTCTCTCAATTCCCAGAGTAGATATTCTCATAGTCACTTTTTTCACTTATATTTTAAAATACATACAAGAGTATTTATAATGTATGTGTATAAAGTGTATCCATTGGGTTTCCATCAGGAATCAGAATTCTACTCAGTTGGTCTGACTAAAGAGATCTTAGATGCTAATTAAAGGAGTGAGGGTAGGGTTAAAAGAACCATCTAGCTCCCAACCACCAAGTTGGGGTGAAGAACCATCAGGCTGAGAGTATAACAGCAGTGGGAAACCCATAGCATCTCTAGGCTGAAGAGCAAGGGAGGAGAGCATTTCCAGAGCTCTGTGAGCTGGAGCCACAGAGGAGGGGCCACGGGTCAAGAGCTGAAGTTGTGGAGAGACACAACCACTGCCAGATCCTCAAACCGAGAAAGAATGGATAAAACATACCCTACCTCTCTTTTCTCCTGCCTCCTGTCTCCTGTGGATGCCTCCAAAGTCCCAACCCAAATATAAGCCAGCTGAAAAGAGCCCAGGTGCTGTTTTCCAAAGAGGTCAGCTGCTGGGGTATAGAATAGGGCAAGGAAGGGAGGAGAATGGATATGAGGGGAGGCAAATAGAAGACCGGGATAGTCTACCTGTTTTGCCACCCAGTATTTATTCTTTCCCTTTGCTCAGATGGAGAGAAACGCATCCCCTAAACATGAGAATCACAGAGTCCTACCAAGTACTATATTGCTTTGAGGTGACGGCAATACTCTGACCTAGAAACTAAATTATAATGTTTGTCTCCATCAGTATTCTTCATCCAAGGAAACAGGGAAAGGGCAGGGAAGAAATAATCAATTAACCTTTTATATACAGAGCTACAGTAGTCCCTGCCTCTATAGCTTGTTGCTAGGCTAAAATTGATAATCATAATTTCCTACTTCATTCACTTTTGTTTCCCTTACTCTATACAGTATCTTAGTAGATTAGGATTTTTTACCTGGTATGGTGATACAACACTTTAATCCCTGTATGGTCTGAAATTTAAGTGCTCCTGACTTTATCAGGTTACTGTAGTTATCTAATGATCATTATTATTGCACATGGGAATATTAACATATGCTCAGTGAATCTTTGGGAGTCATGCACATTTCTCCTTGCCCTCATTGTATAGCTGCAACCCAATTTCCTCTTGGTAATTAGGATCAGTTATTCCAATTCCATCATCATGAGGAACCAAACTGATCAAGGGGCAGTTTCAGCTTCCAATTCAATGGAGCTATGGCTGGGTCCTCTAGTGGAAGCATTTCTTCCTTTTGAACTAGGACTTCAAAGTATGATAAACCCAAGGTTGTAGAAATGGTGTGCTGGATATTTTCATTTGTCCTAGGAACCTCTACAGGCTGTATGGACTTGGCTCCCCTATCTTCTGGCTTTCTTGTGGATCCAGCCAATGGAAGATTTCAGCAGGATTTCCGAGCATGGAAGGACAGAAAGATGTATCTTTCTTTTCCACCCTATCCCCACTTGGAGCTGAGGTGCTAGCAGTGGCTACAACTATAGGATCTTACCCTCCTGGGCCAAAGGTCAGCATCGACTGCTTTCCTCTCCTGAACAACATAGCTCCTGTTGGTAGCCCTCTTATACAGCCACAGCTATGGCTCTCGCCTGGTTTTAGTAACTGTTCCCTTACCTTTGTCCCTTCAGACCTAGAGTTAGTAACAGGATCCCACTGTTGCTGGTTACTACTGTTTATTTAATGCTAACTGTGTGCCAGACATGGTGCTAAGTGCCTGAATATATTATCTCATTTAGTCTTCACAATCCAATAAATTAGATGGCTTTAGTCCTATTGTAGAGATGATAAAAGTAAGTTTTGGAGAGGATGAAGAGTGACAGTGATGGAGCTGGAAATCAAATCAAATATAGGTGTGCTTATGCTAGAGTCCAAGCACTCAAATGCTATCATACCAATTGTTATGCCCTCTTAAAGAGTCAAAGTTCCATGTGGCTTTGCTTCTACGGTGCCCCAGTCACTCTGGCAACAGGTCGGTGTGGTGTTCGCTCACATACAGAGCCTGGGGAAAGTTAGATCCCTTCTCCACAGGTGTGATGGTCAGCCAGGGCTAAGGGCAGTGACCTTCCTCATTGACCTTCCTCAAGGCCAGAGCCTGGTGAAGTCCATGGTATTCTTCCACGCCATTTAATAACAAAGAACAGAATGCCAACAGTTCCTCAAGTATTCTCTCAATGAAGCTGGGAGAGAGGCTTGACTTACTCAAGATAGAAATTACTAGTGGGGTGAGAAGAAATGAATCTCTCAGAACAGAAGGGGAGAAAGATAGCTCTGTCAAAAAAAAAATTTGATTTGGTAACTCTGGTCAAGTCTGCTCTTTTTCGTTTCCTGTCTTAATCTTTTTGCCACTTTAATGGTGGCAGCTCAACAGATGGAGTAGGCTGAGGCTCTAACAAATTAAATAAACTATGTCTGTGCTGAGATTTAAATGGGGAAAAAAAGTCCACACTCAACATAAACCTATTCTATAAGAAGAAAAGCCCTTACAAATGTTTATAACTGTGGATTATGCTTAAGTGACAACCGCTCACGAGACACATTCTCTTCTAGAAACAGAGCCTACAAGTGGTGGTTGGCATCGTATGTGAACAACTGTGAGATGGCTCATTAAGCTCTATGGAGGTTTTAGCTCTGCGAGGGAGCATGGATTGCTCAGGCTCCTCGTGGGTAACTGACAAACCTCACTGAGGACTTTAAGTGAGATTTCCATTATGCTGCTTCTGCCTCCCCTCAAAATTTGAGTCGCTGGATTTTGAATTTGCCTTTTTAACCTGCCCCTTTCAGGCGCCAGGCGGGAAAGAAAACACCAGGCCTCCTCGGTCAGGCAAGAGGGCCCTTTAAGGAAGACGAGAGCTGCGCTGATAGGCTGAGGCTCGGAATCCCTGCCATGGCCAGCCAATCCCAAAGCTCTGCGGGGCGAGACCCGGTCCGTGCGGCGGTCTCGGACTCCGGCCTGGAGGCCTCTGCTTTGATCAGTGTCCCCGCACTTCCACTGCCCACTGCCCAGTGAGTGAGCGCCGGCCGTGCGTGCCAGGCCGGCCGCAGGCTGCTGGGGAGGGCGGGTCCGCGGGGCTGCGTCTGCGTCTGCCGGCGCCGAGCTCAGGGCCTTGGGCTTGCCGGGCCGCGCTGGGGGCCCTCTCCTCGTGAGTGCCCTTGGCTCTCCCTCTCCTAGTATCGCCAACCTCGTTTCGGAGGAACCGCTTCTAGTGCTAAAGACTCCAGACCTCTCCCATACCATTGTAATTAAGTTGGGGGAAGTAGGCAGAGCGTTATCAACGGAAATCAGCATACCACTGCAGGAATTCCCAAGTTACTGTGATTGGGTCCAGGATGAGCGGGTGGAGTTATAAATTACAGAAAACCTACCTGAAGCTGTGAGTTCTCGGCTGGAATTTGCAGCGGAAATGGGCTAGTTGGAATGGAACCCAAAGACTTATTGAAAATGATTGTAATCATGCAACCAGTCAGAAATGTAGGTAGTTAATGTGTCATTCGATCAGGAAATGAGTCAGCGCAGAAACTTGGATGACAGAGGTTATGGGTCATGGAATTATACTTTTTTTTTTCTTTTTAAAGTAAAATCAAATCCTGGCTCCTAGATGCAACCTGAGAAGGGCTGCCTGGAACTTGTGGTCCCAACACTTCTTCCTCAGAAATACCCATGCCTGTTGTAATCTGTAGCACAGTTGAGGCAGGGTTGGAGCATTAAAGAGTCCTTTCTAAGGTCTCAGGAGTAACTGAAGGAAAACCGAAGGCAGAAAGGACCCAAATCAGCATTCTTAGCCCTCTGACACACGCTGGTGTCGAAGTTTTAAGTAGCAAGGCGTTTGTCACCAATGACAAAGTGTTAGCATTTTTGAAAGACTCACCTTATACAATTTGGTGAATTCAAAGTTACTCCTATTGCAAGGTCACTCCTGTTTATTTTCTGATATATATTTTGTGAGTGGGAGAGTGAAAGCTGAGAGTATTGTGGATACCCTAAAGAACCTCCCAGACTTTGGAAAATGGCTTTCTTAGGCTGGGAAAAGAAGGAGAAGAAGGTTGAAAATACCGAATTCCAGGGCACAGTTCACAAGGTGTGGTGCACTCATTTTCAGGTGTGGTCTCCTTTGGGAACCAAGGGAAAGCTCTTCTTCCTGCTTGGCTTCTACCCTTAACCCGTGGGAATATCCCCTGATACATCGAAACTACAATCCAGACCCAAGAGAGCAAGGACAAGAAAAAGGTAAGCCTAAGTCCTAACTTTCCACATAGTTTCTCTTCCCTGGATGACTGACATGAGGATTGTCACTCCGCTTCAGGGAAGAGTCCACCCCCTTATAAATAGGAGCACTCTAAGGGACATAACTCTGACATACAGGGGGTGTGTGTGTGTGTGTGTGAATGGGATTAGAGGACAGCTGTTTTCTTTATAAATGTTTGCTGCATATGTAGAAATTCAATGATCTACTCCTACACGCAAAAGAAAAATAAGGAATGGCAACTGCCTGAGCTACACTTTCTCTTGTGTCACTCATGCTTTCTGCACATCTGTGGGAAAGAGACACCTTGGTGACTGCCAAAATGGATAATATATTGCTTCTGCCTTCAGGCAAGTTCTGCTCTGCTGTTGGAGACAATGGACTTGGGGCTGTCAAATCTGGAGACAGCAGAGAACTTCTGCTAGATCTGCCCACCCTTACTGGGTGACTCTGCCTCTGGTTACTCACAGGATGGAGGAGGGCAGCGGCTGAGGGGTGGGGTGGGTAGGGAAATCTCATGACCTCCCAGGCCTGTTCAGGACTCTGCCTCTCCTCCTCTGGCTCAGCCTCCTGTGCCTAGCATTGAAGCTGACTCTGGCTCGGAGACCCCTATAAATCCAGGGTGCATCTCTGGCCAAAATACAGGGAAGCCAGTGAAGTCTGGCTTGTAGTATACACTCACTTGGAGACCCATTAGCAGGGATAACCCATTGCGTCTGGCATGAAATATCCTCCCTCTCCCATCATCTTCTCACCAGTTAGCTAGAACCCAAGATTTTCTGCTGAGGCTATGGAAAATAGGAACTCTGTATGGGCTTCCCACAGAATATTGTGAATTCTGGGCAGAAAGCATTAGGAATGGCCACTCTGACCTGATGTTCACAAAGTGCTCAACAGCCTACCAAAGAGAATCAGCAACATCGCTGAAGCGGGTAGAGTAGTCGTAACTTCCCTGAGTTCTGCAGTCTTCTGAAGGTAGAATCAAAAACTAACTGAGGTCTTCTGTACCTACCCAGTTGACTTAAGAACAAAAATTGGAGTTCTGGACCATCTAGAATTGCCAGCCCACTTAAGAACTTCTTAAGTAAGATAAATAAGATAGACGATACCATGTATTCATTTAAAATTTGTGTTTCCCAGAACATTTAAGTATCCTTAGGTTTTCCCCCTTTTGAGAACTTCAGTAGTAGCTTAAGAAGAAAAAAGTGAGGCTAGAGGAGGATGGCCAAGGGATGTTAGCAGTGGGTGGATGGAAAGAGCAAGTGGGTAGGAGAGGGGTAGGGATTATAGGAAGAGTATTGATATAGTAACCTTGAGATACCTAAAACGTCCTAAAATACAAATGCAAGGAGCACAGAGAAATCGGTCTTCAAGTTGTACAGTGCATCTTCTAAATCACTCCTCCTCAGAAGCAAAGGTTCTGTCATCCAGCTGTACAGAAGGTAAGAGGGTGGATGGTATTCACCCTGCCCCTCCTAAAAATGAGAGCGTTTTTTTGTTTGTTTGTTTGTTTGTTTTTAAGTGCTCAGTTCTTCAAGATATACAGTGGAAAGAAAAATCAGGAAACATGAAGCTATAGAGCAGGAAAAGATTTTCGAAATCATCCAGTTCAATCAGCTGTTCTTATGTAAGTAAATGATGGCCAGACTGGTTAAGTTTGTCCAAGATCAGACAGCTAGTTAGGAGCAAAGACTAGTGTCCATACTGTGTTCCCAGGTCAGAAAATTTTCTTTTTTTACTTTGTCTTAAGCTCATGGTAGCCTGAAAACAGAGCATATGAGGATGCATGTAGAATATATTGTTTTAAGCTTTGCTTTTTTACATTTTAGGTCAAGATGGGGTTTATATTTTCAAAATCTATGAATGAGAACATGAAAAGCCAGCAGGAGTTCATGATTATGAATGCCCGACTTCAGGTACATTTTTATTTTTTTAATTAAAAAAAATTTTATTTATTTTTGGCAGCGTTGGGCCTTCGTTGCTGCACGTGGGCTTTCTCTAGTTGCAGAGAGCGGGGGCTAGTCTTCACTGCAGAGCATGGGCTCTAGGAGCATGGGCTTCAGTAGCTGTGGCACGTGGGCTCAGTAGTTGTGGTTCACGGGCTCTAGAGCGCAGGCTCAGTAGTTGTGGCGCATGGGTTTAGTTGCTCCATGGCATGTGGGATATTCCCAGACCAGGGCTTGCACCCGAGTTCCCTGCATTGGCAGGGGGTTTCTTAACCACCGAGGGAAGTCCTTCAGATACATTTTTAGATAATTAAGCTTTCATGTTGTTACAGTGGTTAAAGTTTCTGTCACATGTGCTCCAGCACTATGTTATCCTTAACCTCCCAAAAGGTAAAATGCCCTCGGTTCTCTACCCTCAAAGCCAAGATGAAGTAGACTACTAATTATCTGGTGAATGGGCTTGTTTAAATCTCTAATCTAGATATCTAATGTAAAAATTTCCATACTGCAGGAAGAGATAACTGCTTAGAGTGTATGGTAGAATAATGCCCCTCCCCCACCCTGCCAAAAACGACATCTGCATCCTAATCCCTGTGAATATGTTACCTTACATGGCAAAAGGGATTTTACAATGTGATTAAGCTGAGGAGTTTGAATTGGGGGAGACCCTGGATTATCCTGGTTTATCTGGATGGGCCCAGTGTAATCATAAGGGTCCTTATAAGGGAAAGAGGGAGGCAAGAGTGTCAGAGTCAGAGAGAGATTTGAAGATGCTATGCTGATTGATGACTTTGAAGATGGAATAAAAGGGCCATGAGCCAAAAGATTCAGGCAACCTCTAGAAACTGGAAAAGGGAAGGATACAGATTCTCCCCTAGAGCCTCCAGAGGGAATGCAGTCCCTCCAGTCCATTCCAGACTTCTGTCCTTCAGAACTGTAAGGTAATCAATTTGTGTTGTTTTAAGCCACTAAGTTTGATAACTTGCTATAGCAGCAATAGGAAATTTTAATACAGTGTGAACATTCGACATTGGATTTATACAATGGCTGGATAAAAAGACCAAAGCAAAGTAGAAGATTGTCTAAATGCCTAATATAGGTTATCAAAAGGTATTTTAAAATGTTGTACATCAATCAAGTATGAAAAGTTTGACTGAAATTATTTTCCTAAGACATCTAACAAAGATCTCTAGGCCTCTGTGGTTCATTATGGCCCTGGGAATAGACGGTCCTATTGTGAGACATATAGTGAGTGGTTAAAAGTGAGGACCAAAGCCAGGCAGCCTGGGTTTGAATCCTAGTTCCACCTCCTAACTAACTGTGTGGCTTCTGCTTCAGTCTCCTAACCTGTAAACTGGAGATTATAGTATCCCCCTCAGAGGGTTGCTATGAGGAGTAAAGATGACGGTATATAGAGAGTGTGTAGAACAACGCCTCAGGTCATTCGAACAATGTCTCTCACTCTATAAGCATTAGTTGTTGCTGTTATTATTGCTACTAAAGAGTGATAAGACTGTCTTGTGCAGGATAAAGATCTCTTTGGGGGGAATGGAACTGTTGAAAGAATAGGCAATTGAATTGTTTAACAGAAGAAAGTGACCTAGAGGAGACCAAACATTAGGTTTATGAACCAGCAAAGTATGTCACATACTCAGAGAGTCCTTGTCCAAGACCTCTGGAAACTACAGGGCTTTTACTTTTATGTCAGAAGTCAGGGTCTGTGAAGGGTTTGGGATTTTACCCTACTTGCAAGCTAAGAGATTAGCTTATTACTATCCCATGGATGCTGGCAGAACACAGGAGACACCTACATCAGATGGAGGACTTTATTACTCACAGCACAGCAAGAGCATTAAGCATGAGGTTCGTGTCAATTCCCCATGCCTCTCAAGTCTCACAGAGGTGACAAAGATGGGTTCACATGGGTGCTGTGCACCCAGTGGGTTGGGGCACCCTTGAACTTTGGGAATCTGCTGCTTTTCTAGTTAATGAGGAGCTGGTGGAGTTGAGGTGGGGAGAACTTTAACCCCCTCCTGAAGGTTGTTCCCTGCAAACATAACCTCAAGAAATGGCCTGAATAAACAGCAGTCTGGGCCTTGCATTCTTGGCTTACCCAGAATGTGGGGGTACCTTCAGGGACCGTGGCAGACTGCCCCCTCAGTGCAATTGACCAGAGCTTTGAGAACAGCCTTGACTTCTGCCCACTGATCCCAGCGACCACTATAGCTGGTGCTGAGGGTCCAACTGGCCGGAACACTATCAGCACCATTAGTTTTCAGCTTAGCTGAACCAAAGGTGAACCAGGCCCAGGCATTTAGGACAGTCTCTGTGAACCCAAGGGCCTTTTGAGCCAGTAGCTTTGCTTCAGGTGGCAGAGTCAGGGATAAAGTTTTCACCAAAGGGTAGCTACTACTCCTTTATGCAAAACTGAGATGACATCAGGGCCAGGCTAGGCACATCCTCAAATACATTATTTTCATTTGACCAGCAAATGGGTGCTTTCCTTGTAGTTGTCATCTCCTAGTTGACCCACCCAAAAATGGGGATGTCAGGCCTGAGTCATAAATTCTCCAGGGGTAAGGTGTTCATTTTTAACAGGAGCTCAGTCAGGCCTGAGTCATAAATTCTCCAGGGGTAAGGTGTTCATTTTTAACAGGAGCTCAGTAATAGGCCAATAACTGCCTCCCCATTTTGAAAGGGGTCTGTTATGGGTTTGTGTCCCATCCCCGCCCTCCAAATTCATATGTTAAAGTCCAAACCCCCACTACCTCAGAATGTGACCTTATTTGGAGATAGAGTCTCTACAGAGGTAATCAAGTTAAAATGAGGTCATTAGGATGGGCTCTAATCCAATATGACTTGTGTCCTTATAAAATTTGGACACAGAGACGTGCATACAGGGAGAAGGCCATGTGAATATGAAGACACCATCTACAAACCAGGAAGAGAGTCCTGAAACAGAGCCTTCCTTCACAGCCCTCACAAGCAACCAACCCTGCTGACACCCTAACTTTGGACTTCCAGCCTCCAAAACTGAGACAATATATTTCTGTTGCTTAAGCCGCCCAGTTTGTGGTACTTTGTTATGGCAGCCCCAGAAAACTAATACAGGATGTATCTGGTGCTTGTGTCCAGCGTGTGGCGCTGCTGTACTGGGCAGTGGCCTCTGGAGATGGCTGTGATTTTCTCTTTTTCGCCTGGGATTCTATATTGTTTCTATTGGACCACTTGGAAGGGGTCAGAGAATCCCTGAAAGGGAGAATATCCTCTCATCACTATGAATGTTTACAATAAAAGCAAGCAACACAGAATACATTATATATTTATATTCAGGGGACACAACTGCAGTACGTTGAATCAGCTGAATGTTCTTTAACTTCCCTTTCTCACTGCAAACTGCTCAAAACCTATCAGTTGAATTTTGCTCTATGGGAACACAGATCAAAGATATTAACATAGGTACTTCAGGGATTATCATGATAGTTTCAGGAGATTAGGCTGTTTCCCAGCTGGGGGAGATAGAGAATACAAATGTGTATTTGCCCTTTGGTTTCTCATCCCAGAATTGGTATTACTTCCTCCCCTGGGCTCCCCTGGCTTCTGGAGAGACAGGGGCTCAGGGGCATCATTGTTTTAGCCAACACTGGTGCCACTGCTCTGCCCTGTATCCTCAGCATTTTGGGCCACCCTGGCACTTAGCACATCCTGCCTGCATGGGACCAAGTAGACATGGGTGCCCACATCCAACAAAGCTATAAACATTGAGTTCCTCCTCTCCCCTCCCTGAAATTCCCTGGCACACTCAGCCTTCTTCCCTAAAGCAGCTCAAGTTGGAGGAGTGGAGGAGGGAAAGAGCAGCTCGGTGCCAGTCAGCAAGGGTTTGAATTTACTCTGTTTCAAAGGGCCTCCTGTCGCTGGACTCAACAAACAAATTTCTAATGTATTTAGCCTATGCAAAGTTCTATATCTTCATTGCTAACACCATTATTTCAGCTTTGGGGAACCCTTGACCCATCAGCCATAGCCACATTGCATGACTTTTGGCTGGGGTGTGGGGCTTGCTGTCCCATTGATGTCATGAAAACATCCTTTCCTTCTCCCACTCCAGAGGAGAATGTGCCACAACCAAAGCACCATCTGGGAGTCTTGTTTGGACCCTACCTTTTGTTTCTCAGCCTCATTTAACACATAAGATAGTGAGAGATCTTCACTCTACCCTCTTATTTTCACCACCACCTATGCAAAAGCATTTACTTCCAGATCTCAGGGAGCCTTCTGATATCCTCTAACCTGACCAACAAGGGCCCTCTTCCAGAACGCCATCTCTATCAGCATCTTATCCTTGTCACCCAAACTGGCAGGCTGCATGAAGGGTCTGGGATTTTACCCTACTTGTAAATTAACAAGTTAGCCTGTTACTGTTTCACAGATGCTGGCAGAAGGTTTTGTTACTCACAGCACAACAAGGAGTGTAAGCATGGTGTTGCTGCCAGTTTTCTATGCACTCCAAGTCCCGTGGAGGTGATGGAGGTGGGCCTAGTTGTATGCTTAGGTGGATGCCTGGGTTTGTGACATGGGTGAGGAACAGTGAGCTTATAGAATCTATCACTTTTGTCATGAATGGTGAGCAAGGCTGCTCTTTGACTGGGAAGAGATGTTACTTCATCCCTCAAAGTTGCTTACTGCAAACACAACCCTGACAAATGGCCTGGGCAAAGAGTAGTCAGGGCCTGCATCCTTGGCCTACTCAGCAAGAATGCTTAGGGCCCATGGCAGATTGATTCTTCCAACACATATGTTGGTTAAGATGATTAGTTTTTCCTTGTTGAGCAGGATATATTTTATTAATTATCTTTTAATTTCAAGGAAGGATGACAAAAAGAATATAGATCAATACAGTTGAAGCACCCTTCCAACCCTAAAGCTGCTTGAGTTCTCATCCTAACTGGGGCAGCCAAGGGAGAAACATA